GAATTACGAACATAAGAAGAAAAATTTAGAGAAAAAGAATGATAAAAAAATTTTTGACAAGAAAAGTGCAATCCAAATGTTCCCCCTTATTGTTAGTCTCTTTCGTTGGTAGATTTTTTAAGAGGAGTGGACTGCCCTGTGGTCTCCCCTTGTGATAGTCTTCTTTTATAGTTTGTATAGGTCAATTACTTTTATTATTACTTTTTCAACGTTGTTCAATTATATACATTATTCATTCCATTTTTTTAGTTTTTTTTTATATAAATGAAATCTTCCTTTCTTTCTCGTGCCTTATCCTCTCAAGACATTGGCGACCATCGACCTCCACAAAACCAGATTTTTAGCACTTTGTAGTGGTTGAAATGCGGTGATATTCAACAAGTGAAACAAGGACTTCACGAATGTGAACCGTTGTTCGCCGCGGTCTCTTCTCCCTGCAATCTTTCCAGAAGTTGTTAGATATTCCATTCTTTCCTTCCGCATGATGTGACCAAAAAACTTTAACTGCCCCCGTCGGTTATCTGCAGTAATTTCCTCTTTTCATAACCGGACTGTTTTAATACATCCTCTTTCGAAGTATGAGGGGTCCGACTAATTTTCATACTTCTTCTCAACAAACCACATCTCAGCAGCGTTAATATTTTTTTCCATTTCTTTAGAAATTGTCCAGAACTCAGAGCCGTAAGTTAGCACAAGAAAAATGTAACACCCTAACAGCTTTAACTTTGCTGATATTTTGATTTTACTGTTGGTGAGGATGTTTTTCATTTTAGAATATGCATCTTTCGCCTTAGCTATCCTTCGTTTGATATCCATAATCATGTTTACAAACTGAGATAATCAGGTAATATCATAAATAAAATAGATCTAAAGGAAAAATTGTTTTGGGTGAGGACAACCCTACGGTTCCATTTGCGGCTGACCCTTATCGTCTCTTTAACGTTGTCACATCACATAGAACATGCAGTCAGTCTCTCAACTCACTTTCCTAATTGCTTGCACATTGATAAATTTATTCCTCAGTCACATCAACACATCACACATGCTACTTTCCGCCTCATCTGTCTGTGTTTATGTGTGTGCGTGCGTGTGCGTGTGTGGGTATGTGTGTGTGTATGTGTGAATGTTCATGCGTGTGTGTGTATGTGTGTGTGTATGTTAGTGTGTGCGATACAACATTAATTCAAAGAGTTTCGATATATAAAATAAAAATGCAGGCATATTACACACAGACACGCACAGATACATACGTACATACATACACACACACATAAACAAACATACAAACAAACGTACAAACATACATATACAAACAGAAAATGGCAATATAAATAGGCGTATTTGGGCATTCAATACGAAATAAGTATGCATAGGAATGGTTGTTTTAGATTTTATTATTGCGTACCACTGATGTTCTTCCTTCATCCTGCTGTACACTTGTTTGTACGAAATTTGTTTGTATGTATGTATGCATGTATGTGTGTATGTCTGTATGTATGTATGTCTGTCTGTCTGTCTGTATGTCTGTCTGTATGTATGTATGTATGTATGTATGTATGTATGTATGTATGTATGTATGTATGTATGTATGTATGTATGTATGTATGTATGTATGTATGTATGTATGTATGTGTGTATGTATGTATGTATGTATGCAATATGCTTGTATGTATGTATGTATGTATGTATGTATGTATGCAATATGCTTGTATGTATGTATGCGTGAAATGAAAGACATTTTATTGTCTTCTTTACGATGTCTATCTTACATTTTGTCATCATCATGAAAAAACTTGCACAAGATGAAATAGGAATAATAACAACAACAACAACAACAACAACAACAACATTAATAATAATAATAACCACAATAATAAAATAATAATAAAATTATTATTCATAAAAAAATGTCGCCATCTTCTTACACAGTGGGTAATAACGAACGTAATAAAGACCTTGGTGATAATTATTTTTATTTTTCGGCACGGGGATGTTTAAACTTGCGTGTATCAGCTTCATTCTTGCTGGGATTTTGTACAAAACTGGAGTGTGTTTCAGGCTCTTTTTTTGAGTGAGCCGAGGTGCCGTATGTGAAAACACCTTTCTAAGAATTAGTTAACTTGTGGTTAAGAAACTTTTGCACGAAGATCGCAAACATGTATGCTATGCATGAATGTTTCTGATGTAGAGCAAGGAGTAGTGGTGGCTGACGTGGCAAATTAGATTGAGATCTAGAGGGGTTCGTACAAATCGATTTTGACATTTTGACAGCTGTTTAAGATAAGTTTCTCGGCTATTTCCCCAAAGGATGTTGCGATATGTTGAATGGGGTTATGCGAGTATTGTAAAAAATGACATATAAGAATAAATTACGGAGAAAAATGTTTAAGCATGGATAGTATGGAAAATTAAACAATGGCTTAAAACGACAGATAAATAAAATAATTCATTAATAAACTAGTCAATTAATGACTTAGTAAGTAAGTTAAGTGGTTGATAAGAAGATGGAATGGACAAATTTGACAAAGTTTTAAAGATGTCTTGTGACGAAGTTCTTATATGCTGATATGTTGACTGGGTAACGATTTTATAGTTATGCTTGCGTTGGTTGTGTGTAGTTGTTTTGGCTGGTAGTGGTAGAGTTTGGATGAGGTGGTTGTTGTTAGCTTGCCCAATCTGGAACAGCCTTGAATCGAGTTTGTTGGGTGAGGTGGGATGTGATGCCGGGGCAGATAGTTTAAGGTTTCGTTAGCTATTCAGTTGTTTATGTCGTTAGTAAAATAATTTTATTTTTTTTCTCTCTTTCTTTCTTTCTTTCTTTCTTTCTCTCACTCCTTTTAATCCTTTTTTGAAAATTTTCTAAGTTTTCAGTTTTTTGTGTTATTATTCTTTCTTTTCTCTATTTTTATTTCTTCTTTCTATTTTTTAACTCTTTCACGACTTTTTCTCACCTTCTCTTATTCACCGTAGCGCTAAGCTATTTTTTATCTCCTCACACAAACACACACACATTCTCTCTCTCTCTCTCTCTCTCTCTCTCTCTCTCTCTCTCTCTCTCTCTCTCTCTCTCTCTTTCATCTTCACTCCTTTTCATTTTTACTTTTTCTATTTGTCTATCATCTTCACATTCTTCCTAATTCATTCGGATTTTTTATTCTTATCTCTCTTAAATTTTTCGTTCATTATATATTTCACGCTCTTAATTTTTTATCTTTCTTCTATACTTTTTTTTACTTCCGTTCTCTCTTTTTTCTTCTTCTCTCTCTTTCTTTCTTTTTTTATCTCTCTTTCTCTCTTTTTTTTCTCTCTCTATTTTTCTCTCTCTTTCTCTCTGTCTCTCTGTCTTCTTCTTCTTTTTCAAAATGTTTCTTAGATGTTTTGTGTTTCTTAAAAATCTTCTTTAAATTTTATATCATCTCCCACACAGGCTTTCTTTCTTCGTTTTCTTCTTCTTTTATATCTTTGGCCTATCTTCTTCAATTCTTTTTTTCGTTTTTTTCCGTCCATCCATCTTTTTGTTCTTCCATTATATGCGTTCCATCATAACTGTTTTATAATTTATTCATTCTTCATCCTTTAATTTTATTGTCAGCCAATCTTTCTTCCACTTACTCATTGTCTAATTATTTCGTTCCCTCTCTCCCTTTCTTTTTCTTTCTTTCTTACCCTATTTACTTCTTTTTTCCTACCCTTTCTATCCTTTTTTTAATTTTCCTCTCTCTCTTTCAATCTCTCTTTTGTTCTTTATCTCTTTCCTTTTTTCCTCTTTCTTTCTGTCTTTCTTTTCTTTCTATTTTTTCTTCCTCTTTTTTTTAAAGATACTCTCTCTTTTAATTTCATCTTCTCTTTTTACTCATTCTCTTCTCTCTTTCTTCTTCTCTCTCTTCCTCCCCTTTCTCTCTCTCTCTCTCTCTCTCTCTCTCTCTTCCTTTCTCTCTCCTTCCTTTTATTCTTCTCTCTCTCTCTCTCTCTCTCTCTCTCATCATTTTTATTATCTAACATAGCGTCAGAGGCAGTCAGAAAGTTCTTCTGACTGTCGTTTCGGTGATATTTTTTGGAAAAAACGATAGTAATAAAAATAAAAAATAATTAAAATAATAATAAGAAGAAGAAGAAGAAAAAAAAAAAGAAGAAAAAGAAAAAGAAGGAAAAAATAATAATAATAATGCAAAAAATATTTAGTTGCCTTGTGGAAAAGTTGAAAAATAAAACGATATGTGTGCGGTTGACGTTATATCAATAGAACAGTGATTTGCTTGGAGTTGTTTATGTATGTATGAATGTTTGTATGTATGTATGTATGATTGTTTGTATGTATGTATGTGTATGTATAAATGTCTGTATGTATGTATGTGTATGTATGAATGTTTGTATATATGTATGTGTGTATTTGGGTTTGTATGTATGCATGTTCGTGAGTAAGTTCGTATATGTATTTGTGTGTGTGTGTTTGGATGTATGTATTATCAACAAAAAACAACAGCATTGTTCTCAAAATTTTTATAGCATCAACAACAACATTAAAAACATCAACTACATCAACAACAACCACAACCTCATCAACAACATCAAAAACAACAATTTCATGAACATCATCAACAACAACAAAGTCAAAAACAACAACACCAAAACAACATCAACAACAACACCATCAACAACAACAACAAAAACAACATCAAATACAACAACAACATCAACAACAACAACAACAATGACCTATCGATTTAACGTCATTTTCAAGACACACCCTCTCCTACTATCCATCCAGGAGTCGCCGAATTTGTCAGATATGTTTGTATGTATGTATGTATGTATGTGTGTATGTATGTATGTATGTATGTATGTATGTTAAAACCAAAACATGATGAGTGACACTGAACCGTCAAACATCAAGTAACAAATGGATTAACACTTTGATTTGTCGTTAATTGCACATGTCGGCATTCAGTTGGATATTTTCAAGCACACAGACACGCAGGAACCGCTGCAACAAGCACGAAATGTGGATGGTTGCAAAAAACAGTTCCCTGCTGTCACCTGATCTGACACTGATCCTTTTGCCTATTTCCTTGAGAAATTTAAGGGTGTTGGGGTCCATCGGGCCGAGAACCTGGATACATATTGGCAAGAATTCCATCGAGGGGAGGGCATTCCCATATTTTTTCATTTTCTCGTCCGCTGCCCTGGCCGCGGCCAAACCGCATTCTTTACTTGTCAGGTTTACGTATCGTTCGGCGAGGGTGCCAGGGACCGTAACATCCCACGCCAAACATCTGCCGGCTCTCCAAGGTATTAGCGTGCATCCGTCCGGTCGCCTACCATCATGCGCAGAAATGCCGGATGGTTCCTTGAGAACCGGGATTGAAGCCTTGGAGAAGAGCCGACAAATGTAGTCGTTTAGCGCTGAGTGACGTAGTTGACGGCCCCCACCCAGGCGACAAACCAAACCGTGGTGCCCAAACTCGTCCGCCTCAGCGCCGCATCGGCACGTGTATTTATTTTGAATGACCAGGTCAAGTCTGAAGCCAATGGCAAATCTTACAGACTCGTCGTCAAGCCTGGTGCCCACAGAGGTGTTAGGCCACGATCTCAACCACCCACAGCTGGCAACGCTGGACATGGCCAACAAACGAGCGGTGGAAAAGTCGTCGCCGCATATGTATGTATGTATGTATGTATGTATGTATGTATGTGTGTGTGTGTGTGTGTGTGTGTGTGTGTGTGTGTGTGTGTGTATGTATGTATGTATGTATGTATGTATGTATGTATGTATGTATGTATGTGTGTGTGTGTGTGTGTGTGTGTGTGTGTGTGTGTGTGAG